CCCCAAAACCCCAAAACCCCAAAACCCCAAAACCCCTAGCAGCACTAACTGATTAATATAATTTTGGTTGGTAAATTTAAATTCAAATTTAAATCTATTTTTACAAGAATGGATATTGAACGTCTAAACAGGATAAAACAAATTTGTTTTAACAAAGGAGCGAATGCTAATAATAAGCAAGGTGGAGGAAAAAGATAGCCATTTTAATCATCTAGATCACCAATAAACAGAGATAAGTAATTTGGTAAGGAAAACCAAGAAAATGTGACTTAGATCTTGCCAACAAAGTATCAAAAGAAAGATCATTTAAAAGAGAAGGAAATTGAGGTTACTTAGCATTTCGAGAAAAAGCAATAGAAACTATAGTAAAATATCAAAAGATTCAATGAAATGACGAGACTAAAAAAGCAGAGAAGAGGGTAAGATTAGAGACAGGCTAATTAAACTTATAATATTGATCTAAACCCTAAGTCTAATTCATAATCACCTCAAAGAAATGAAAGAAATTTCACTGGGACAGATTTGAACAATTTGGGATCTCCTATCAGACAAAGAGCAAGCTCAGCTATGAGATCCCAGTCTAAGAATGTAATTTAGCTCGTTCCCTCATAGTACCAAAAGAAATCAGTCTCACCTCATATGAGATCGAATTACTATGAAGGAGGCAGCATAAGTCTATGTGAAACTTCTTAGTTCGCCTTTAATGAAGATTATTTGTAGTATGATGAGGAAAATTAGAAAATTTGCTAGGTGAGACAAACTCTGAACAACATCTTGAATTCATTCCAAATGAATTCATAAAATAAGCTAATTCCTTCTAAAAGTCTCGAGGAAATAAGGCTCAAGCTAAATGGTGCTCTTGATAAACTGATCAAGGTGAGACTTTAGGACAATCCCAGCTACATTTCAAATATAATTCATGGATGTTTAAATGAACTTGGTCAAAGATTACTGCAATATTCACAGTAATAAAACATGAGTGAAAATGATTATAGGAATATGAAGCACTTACTCTATGAGACTTAAGAGCAAAATGTAGTAGTTGACATATAAACAATGACGATTAGGCTGTTACAATATGTGAGACATACTAACTACCTTATTGGACTTCAAAAACTCAAAAGCACAATTAATGAGGCATAAGTCTATCAGACTAAGGAATTCTTTTAAATACTTAAGTCAAAGAATAATCTAAGGTTGAGATAATATACCTTCTTAAAGCTAATAACTGAAAGAGCATAAAACAAATTCTAGTATTCTCATATCCTGCGGTATTTTAATTAATGGAAATCAGAGACTATATAGCTTTCAGCAAATATAGATCAAGAAATTTCTAAAAAGAACTAAAGTTTTAACACTCATCTCTTTAAGGACATATATATGAATAACAATTTTACTCTGAATGCAACTAAATTTATCAAAGGTTGTGTGGAAATCATTGAAAGAAATTCGCAATAAATTTAAGTTGACATTATATATCAACGAAGAGACAATCTTGTGGTTTATTAAGAAGGGACTGAAGAACCCATAGTAGTTTAAGATTAGACTAGTCTATTGAAAGACTTTGTCTCAGATTATAGATAAAAGTTCATGATATAAACAAATGCAATCCAAAAGAAATAATTCAATAAGGAAGTAGATTGTCCATTTATAGAGTAGAAATCTCTGTACCTCTAAAAAACTACTAATCTTTAGCAAATCTTGGTTGCCATCCACAAAAGAAAAGTTGAATTTGATAGTCAGAAAAGAAAGCAAATGGTGATTAGGCTAAGCTTTTAGAATATGCCTACTATATCCGACTAATCATAGCTATTGTACAAATAAATTTTCAAGAAGGTCATGACACTGATTCAAAGCTCATATTCTTCATATAGAATGCTTTAAAAGCAACTGAGGAATTCAACTGGATTTTAAAATGCTGTTAGCAACCAAAATGAATAGTCTATAGTAAATTAGAGCTAAACTGAATAGTTAATTAAAGAGCTTAACTACTTGTAAGAAAAAGCTCTTGAATTAAACTGCAACAGTACTATAGCAGATTTGTTTAAGTTCATCAATCAGGTTACATTTGAATTATTTTAGTATGAAAGATGTAGTATACTATAGTACTAGAATGGGTAAACTACCAGAATTTATGATAACAGTAAGCAATCGATAATGAGTCTAGGATAGGTTGATGATAATAAAACTTAAGATTCTATTTAAGAGTTGATAAGGCATCAACTTGAAATATCGTAGGATGATTCACTCGATAATAACATTATCAGATTAAAACAACAGATATACTCTTAGAAAGATTAATTTGAGATGAATAGATAGTCAATCACAGATATGGTTGTTATTGACTTAGAACTAAATAAGAGTAGGGGAAACGATATATCCACTTTATATATTCTATCTCAATCAAATACAGAGATTGTATCTCAATATAATTAGAAATTCTTCTTGAGATTGGAGTAGAAACTAGAAAAGGAAAAAGATCAACAAAATTTCCTTCTCAAATATTAAAATAAGCATATTCTTTTCAAACAGATTGCAAAACTGTTTAATATGGTAATTGCTAAAATAAAAACTCTTGAAGGAAAAAAAACAGTCGAAACAGAGAATAATTAGGAGTAAAACGAACTAGACTTTGCTAATTTGACTTAAATGAATGAAGAGTATAGGTAGAAATTAAAGCTAAATGAGGAGATTGAAGAGTTTTTAGATGAACTCAAGAATGCTTAAGCTATTGTTTGCTTTGATTAACTTTAATCAAGGCTTCATGAATTTTTGAAGGATAAAATTCCAAATATAGCAAAAACTTAGTTATTTTTAACCAAGGATGAAGCGGGCCAGTTGCTATATACTTACATTAATGAAAGGAAAATTTAAGGTAGAAACAGATCTATGGGTCTTAATCCTTCATCTGGAATTAACAATATGTAACTAGACTCATCGTTTCAATGCACAAGCAAACTTCAATCAACTCTACCTTATTTACAGTAATAGATACAAGCCGAAGAGTTCTAGCCAAGTTAATATATTTTGAGCGATAGAGACTAGTAGATATTCACTCCGAAAGAAGAGTAAAATAGAAAGAGGTTTAATCATTTTAGACCTTAGTCCTAGGTCATTAATAGAAATCAGCAATAATAGCACAATATTATTCCTCATAATCAACTTACTTATCAGCTAGATGATATAAGCTCAATCTCTGGCTATGATGGTTAGACTAATATCAATGAAAAAAACAGCATGCTTATCAATACTTTTATAGCAGGTGGAGATTAAACAGAATCATAAGCATCAAAAGGTCATCACAAGCATCAACCCTCGTTAACTCGGTAGCCAAGTATCAACCTTGGTGGATCTGTATCATCCTCCCATGTGAAAAAGCAGAATATGAGAAGAGATAAAAGCGCATACTCTGAGCTACCCTCTAACTTTGATTTTAGGAACAACAATATGATTGTGAAAAAATTAGCGAAAATCTAGAAGCCAAACTTAAACATCAAATCAAGCTAGGAGATTCTGCTTACATCTGGCTTCGTTTTGGAAAATACAGTGGACTATACTTTAGAATTAGATATAATTAGTTCTAATATGAACCAGAGACTTATTGAATTTACTGTTTATCCTTAGAATGGAAATAAGGATAAGAAATCCATAATATTTACTGCTATTTCTGAGAGGAGAAATCTTATAAAAAGAAATCTGAAGAAGGATAAAAACTTCAATCACTTCATTGATAATATGATCAATTCAGATGAAGATGATAGAGTAATTGTCTAGAACAGTCTATTTGTACCTTTAATTCTATCGACTCAAAAGGTAATTGGAGTTATTCAAGTTGGGAATAATGATAAATAATAAATTTTTACTGAGCAAGATCTCTAAACACTGTCTATAATCGCAGATAAATTTGCCAGATATCTCTAAGATGCCAAGGATTAGTTAAACACAAAAACTTTATTTAAAAAGTAACTTGAGGTGTCCAAGCTTCATTCATCTCTAGAGAATCAATCAGTTACTAAAATTCTATAATATGCAAATAAGCTGTTCTTAAGGGCTAAATTTGAGCCGCTAAAAGCAGTTTGGAAATTCTGTGTGAAAACTCAAAAATACTTCACCAAAGTGTTTTCATGTAAATTCGCACAGATTTTGATTGTAGATCATAACCTTCAAGCCATATAATCTTTCAAAGAAGAAAAACCTCTCATATATAATAGAGCTAGTTTTAATGAAGAATGTATCGCATCAGCTATTGTAAGAAATTAGATTTAGGATCCAGCGATGTGGCCAGTGCCTAATGACTATATACTAATCGGTGATGGATTAGATTCAGGAATAAACATGGCTAAGCAGCTGTTCCATTAAAATATTGATGCTCCTATTGGATTCAATGAAATTTGCCCTCAAACTTATTTGGCCTGTAGTGTCAAGGATAAAAATGGAAACGTTCAGGCAATTATATAGTTAATAGGAAGGCAAAATAACTTTAAATTTGTGGAGTAAGATGCAAAGCATTTAGTTATGCTATGTGACCACCTTTCACAAATATTCGAATACATCCATAATGAAAAGTTCTTATAATAGCTTAGCACTGAACAAGCAAAGAAATTAAAAAAATTAGTAAAAACTCTAGCTAAAAAAGAGAAAAAGCATTTCAAGGTATTCTTCCAAGAGCTATTAAGTTATAGATGGGGTAAAATGAATCTATTAAAAAATAAAATTATGAGGAAATTCCTCGATAGACATATGTAAGTAGATAATATACTATTGTAAAAAGTAAAAAAAATGAGTGAGATCAAGGGGAAATTCGAAAAGCAGCATAAATATAAAGCATTCAGCTAACTAAGGGAGAAGATTAAGATAATCAATGAGAAAAGGCAGAAAAATGCCTCAAAATGTCTTAGCATTATTAATAAGTATGATAAGTTACTAAGTATAAGAGTAAAAGATACTGCTTTTAGATATTGGGATTAGTTTAAGAGATCTGATGCTAGCAATAACAGCTTTGAATTCCAAAATATTTCAAATGATTTCTAGCAAAGGAATTAGCAATTTATTCAAAGTAGGTAATTTAAAAAGCATTTAAAGGTAGCAAGCACTGATACTTATTTCCACTCAACCTTCAATGCTGTTGTCTAAGATCAAAACAACAATTCAAATTATGCATCGGATTGCAACTTAATCAACCAGTCAAGTATTCTAGATGAATCAAGTATCACTTCTACTATATATTAAAAGGCAAAAGCAGTCTACAAATTTAAGAAATTTTTTAATGTCAAGAAACTTAGAATATACTTTGACATTTTTCTAATAAAATCACTTTTTGGTTCAATAAAGGTGAGTCCTCTGCTCTTTAATGAAGATACTGTTAGATTAATGAAGCTACACAAAGTAGTCACTAAAAGAGCAAACTCTCTAAGAACAAAATTCTTTTAGGCATTTAAAGGTTAAAATGAGAGAGTAATCTAAAGGTAAAAACTACTTTAGAAAATTGTCAAAAAACAGAATACTAAATTTATCACATTCGGAGTAAAGACATGGTAATCACAGACAGAGCACTCAATCAGAAAAGATCTTAAGAATGAGAAATCATATGTATCTTAGCTGAGTGAGCAATGTAGGGAGGGGTCTGTTCTTTAAATGATAATGCAAGGCATAAATAAGATATTTTCAATAGATAGATTCTCATCTGTAGAAGACTGTCTTAACTCAATTGAAATGAGAGCTCTCTTTGCAAGTCTTTGTGAATTTCTTCAGAGTTAAACATTGCAGCAGTACTCTGTAGTGATATCATTCAGAATGCCTGAAAACTATCACTTGAAAGGCTAGCAATTTGCCACATTTATCTATCACTGTCAAGATATTGATTTAAATAAGACTGCTATAAATCAGCAACTATCACATCTCTCATCAATTAATGACATATCAAGAGCAGAAAAGTTTTAAAACTATGACAATCTCGGCCAGTAGCCTAATCATTTTTCTTCTATATCAGAGGTTGGTCATGGTGGTACTGGCACTAATGTTAACTTTGACAATATCAATACCAATACTAATAACGTCATCGTAGCTAGTACACCTGCATTTCACATATAGGATTTAGGCAATGATAAAATCATAAAGATTTTGTCCACCAACAAACAGCAATTAATTTTGTAAAGAATCTAAGATGACCCAATTTTATAAGAGTCATTAAATCTTAGGAAAATTACAGACCAGGTACAGGCATTGATCCTTCCTTTACTATAAAGATCCTATCCAAACAATACTAATTTGCCTTCAATCAACTTATTTGGTACAATAGAGGTTTATCAGAAGTAGAGTTTTGATACTTCATAGTATTTTTAAGACGACTAGATAAAGTTTAAATCTTATTCAAGTGTTATCTAAATAGGATTGGAGTCACTATATCAAAGACTGTTCCTAATTCAATAGGTATGCTTCTATTTTCTTATTGTTTATTGTTGTTATAGACTTACAATCTGAATCTGGAGAGATAGCTTATGGAGATAGAGAGACCGAATGAATTGCCAACAAACTAGAATCATAATCTTAGTTATGTGGTGAAGTATCTGTCAGATAAGATTATTAATACATTTAAGGCTAATCATTGCTTGATAGTCTTTTTGCCCTCAGAGATTAGAAAGTAACTCAAAGGCACATTTTACAACTTTGAGACGTGCAAGCTATATTAGATTGACTTTACTGGAACATTTTTCACACAAATTATTCAGTCAGATACTCAAAGGATTGTAACGTTTCCAAGCAGCTTGCTTTGTAGAAATTTAAATAAAAATCCCCAGTATACTATTAATGAAAGATTTGAGACTTTAACAGGTTTACAGTATGAAGCAATTAAATACATACCTATATCAGATCCTGAAAAGAACTCTCAAATCATGCTCTATGTAGAAATCGGATGGAGCAGGCTGAGCGAGGCTTAAGATTTGCATGAAAATGACTTTTATCTTCAGAAAAAAGAAAATTTGATCAAAGATAAGGTTATGGAGCAGATCAACTAAGTTCATAGAAACCTTAAGTATTTTGTCATGAGTGTATAGCCTAAACTATCGAACTTGAATTAGAATGCTTACATTTCAAACTGTTTCAAAACATGGAAATCCTACTGTAATTTAGCTAGAAATGCCTTCACCTCAACTAAAAAAGTGAGTCACACAAATCTGCTATCACCTCCCACGTAGATTCATTACAATCCAAATGAAGATGTCAGCAGGTCCAGGTTCCAATAATACTATACTGAATCCAGAAAGATCACTTTTGCTGAGAACTCACCATCCTCTACAGTCGTAAATTAATCCAAGAATATTGTCTCGCCATAACTTTCTAATATATACTTCAACCAAACCAACTCGATGAATTTGTAAAACCCTTCTGCTTCAAAGTATAAAAGAGGTAACTCAGCATAAAATCACCAAAGAAAAATCTCATAGTTGAGTATCCCTGCTTAGCCAATTTAAGAAGAGGCAGAATTCTAACTAGAAACTGAGCTAGAAGTTGAGAAAGCGGCAAAGAGAAAACTAGTCTCAACCTCTTTGCTATTCATATCTCTTTTGTCAAGGTCGCTAAGAATGACTAAGACAAGAGAAGCTTTTAGAGAATGGTCATAGTACTGCGAGTAAGCAGCTATTGCTGAAAGAGCTTTCAATCAAATTCTTGAAATAAATCACAAGCACTCAAAGATCAGATATGAGACTGGTGTCAATATGATAGACAGAATGTTCAAAAAAGATCACTTAAGATCAGTATTAGCATAGCTGATGGGGCACACCTAGAACTACAGTAATAGATAATTCAAAAGTAAAGGTAATAAAGTAGTAAATGGACATCAAAGAGTGAAGTCTTAAGAACACTATCATCATCAGTAAAACCAGCACAATCTATAGTACATAAATCAAAATCACGTATATGGAATTGGAAACGGACATAAAATGAGAACTAGCAACAATGTTATCAATAATGAGATATTGAGGGAGATTACTCTAAGCAGGGGACTAGATACTCAGCAATTCGAAGATGATGTGTTTACTATGCAAGAGCTAGATCAGAGCATTCTCGATGAAGTCAAAAGAGTAGAGTTCCATTCAAGACCTTCAAACAAGGCTAACAATGCATTCAATACTATTATGATAAAAGATGAGGCAATCAGTGGCGGTTTTACTGATAATGAGCTAGACAGTGAGTTCAGCTTGGGAAACGGTACTAAAAATATGATTAAACTCAAAGCAGAAAGCATTCTTGAGCAGGCAAGGAATGAATTTAAGACAAGAAGCAGCCAAGTCAGATAATCTCTAGAATGAGGGGTAGAGGATATATAAATGAGATAATAATATCATATAAAGCTTGCAAAAATATTGCAGTTGATTAAATTTCAATTTGATTTCATAATTAAATTTCGTTATTAATTCTATAATGTGCAAATGGGGTTTTGGGGTTTTGGGG